CTTGTATTCGTGCTGAGATTTCGTCAGAGATCAGCCCGTTGGGGCTGATGGTACACAACAGTCCTTTTATAACGATAGAAGACAACCGCCAGGCAACAGATAGCTTATTGAGGAAATCAACAGATATTTATAAATTTTTATCTGCATTATTACTCGTAATTATTAACAGAGAAACAACGTCTTCTGATTGGTTGTTTTCTCACTGAAAGTTAATTTGTCATCTCTTTGTGGCAGTTTCTTTGATGGTCAGACCATATATCTGCGAATCATATCCACCCACTCAAAGTCTTTGTTCTTGTTTCTTTCATGGCCAAGATTTGGGACGTAAACATTGATGTAAAGTGCTGTCTACCAATTTTGGCTAGCACACAGCCCTCATCACACTTTTAGTAACTTCATACAATTCTTCCCATTAATAAATTTGAATAGAGCAAAAACAAACAAATGTACCAGGATAATCTGAGCTCACGTTTTTATTTTTATTATTTTGTGGATTCTTCTCAACTAGTTACAAATTTCTATTACAATAATAGTGAGTAAGTGATTGGAACCGAGAGTAATATTGATCAGGAATAGTGTAAGTTGTTAAATAATTAAGATTTAAAAGGATTGACTTATTTATAGAAGAATTGGATGACTAAGCTTGGAAAAAAGAGGACATAGTTCAACAGATGTTTTGTGTGTAGAGATAAAGTTTAACTAGAAAGAGTATACAAAGTAATGGGTTACCTAACCGCAGAAAAACACGCTTTTATAAAATAGACAAAAAAGGGGGAGGGGTCGGACGAGTCATGTTTAGACGAAAAATTCAAGTTTTCTAAAAAGGACAAAAGATGGCGTAGTGAAATTTGTGCGCTTTGCTATCACCAAGGCAGTGCAAGACTCACCACTATCTCTTCCTGCGTACATAGATTTAATTTTAGCCGTTTTGATGGCGATTGCCTCAGCAAAATGAAGCAGGTTATGTTTCTTTTGTCTGTTGATTAATGTGAACGCTGTTCATGGCCAGTATCTAGTAGATGGCGTGCGATCGCACTTTTCAATGCTTGTGGACCGTTTTATCTCAAACTCTGGTATGTGTTCAGCGATGTGGACAATAACTCTTCTCTCTCTGTTCTTCCAATCTGCGTACTTTGACACGTACATGTAAATTGGTAGACGCGGTTGGAGGTAACATGAGCTGGGAGTTTGTCCACTTTTGACTGTGTTGAACAACAGGTCCTTTTATTACTAATTTATGACGGCGATAAGGAGTCAGAAGGCAGTAATTTTCAAAAAATGAACTGTTTCTGACCATAGATACCTTGGCTGTGTTGCTCACATTAGATGCAGCAGTATGCTGAGTAATGATTTGATGTTAGTCATAGTGTATTTGGCACAAATGATAATTTGTTTCAGGATACAATGAACCGTTCAGATTCAACAGATCTTTAATCTTAACCGACTTCAGCCTGAGTAAGGTATATGGCTAGTACAGGAAAGATGAGATCCCAGTAACTGAGTTCAGACGACAACAAGAACATTTAATTATTTTTCAAGCATTAGTTTTGTAGGGATTTTTTTTGATTGGATGAAGGATTTCATCAATACTCGAAAATTAATCTGATGCTCACTAGCGACTTGCCGTATTCAGGCAGTGACTTGGGGTTCTAGTGGGAAGCCGTGACCAGTAGAATACAGCAGGTTGAAGATAAGGCAGTAACTCGTCGAAGAAGACATTCTGAAATGGCCTTGCTATGTCGGGAATTGGCAGAAGTTAGAATTCATGGGCTGGCCATTGGATGGGGTCCCAGTGGCTCAATGGTCTACGAGCTGGCTAGCCTTGTAACCTAAAGGTCCTGGGTTCGAACCCTGGTGGTGAGCGCGTACTGGTGAGGAGTCCCAAACTAGCTCGACGAAACAGCTGTCCAGTACTCCCGAGTAGGTTTTCCGGTGGTTCTCTCACTGATGTCACCTCATCCAATTTAATCATTTTCTCTTCCTTACGCCTACTTTTATCATATTTCCTTTTTATTTTTTTTCTGTTTGCTTTATTTCACGTACGCCATATTTCCTACTATTTTGTTCATTTTATTTTATCAATGTTTTTTTTGGTGGAGGCTAGTCCTATGTAGTTAAATCAAAAATATTCTCATGAAACTACATACTACTGATTGGCTGAGACGAGTAGTTGTACGCCACTCGTATAAACCAAGTAGTGCCTGCTAGCCAGACAGATCGAGGTGATCTTCACACTGGACAGCCGTTTCACTCGTTTAAGGTCGACTAAGCTGATCAGCGGTGTACTTGGTTTGACTCAGCTCAGAAAGAGAGCTGAATCTGATCTGAATCATTTGCTTTCCGAAGAAAACTGTGGTACAGAGTTCATCCTTCGAACTGTCTGTCTGTCTGTCTGTTTTCGACATAGAACTTTGCACAAATGTGCGGAAGTTCAAGTCGCCACATTCCGTGTAGCACGCGAAGCAAGAGAAGAAAGTACAAGAAAAGCATAATAGAAACAGTGAGCAGAGGTGTGAGACAAAGGAGTAATAAAGAAATACAAAACAGTTTCATTGAAGATCATAAGTCACAGGGAGTGGATGCATCTGCGCCACTGAGAACGGTTTTGAGCCATGTCACCAATTGTTTCCAACCATAGATTTTTACCGTCCCGAGGACCCCAGCCTGGAAGTCTACACCTTTCTACGTGGCTTAGACCAACTGTTGTGGATTTCATTGACTGATGCCAAGTTTTTGTTTGACCGCCGCTAGCTTTTTTCCAGCCTGACCCTATATCCGCTAACATTGCTCGTCGAGAGAGGCGATGGCTTGGCATACGTAACACATGTCCTAACCATCTCAGTCTTTGTAGCTTCACGACTTCGTCGATTGATTTCCCCTGTTTACCTAGAACTCTGCGCCTAACCTCCATGTTGCTCACCTTATTATGCCACTTTACACGGGAAATAGAACGCAGGCACCTATGATCAAACACAGCTAGTCTTTCCATGTCTTCCACTCTGAGTGGCCAGGTCTCACAACCATAAAGGAGGACGGAGCGGACTGATGAGCAGTACACCCGCCCTTTGGTCGATAGTCGAACATCTCGTCTACGCCAGAGTCGGCGTAAACTAACAAATGCGAAACGAGCCCCTTGTATTCGTGCTGAGATTTCGTCAGAGATCAGCCCGTTATGGCTGATGGTACTTCCCAAATAAGTGAAGCGGTCAACGTGCTCTACCACTTCACTTCCTATTTTTAAACTAGGCGTCGATGTAGTCCAGTCCTGTAACATCATCTTGCATTTGGCGGGAGCGAATCGCATGCCAAACATTCGTAGATTGCGGCTCAAGGTGTTTAGAAGACTCTGCATTTCGTCAGCGTCTTCGCCTAGAAGGACTATATCGTCTGCATATTCCAAGTCAACGAGATTATTCCCTGGTAGCAAGTCAATCCCTGAGTCGCTGAAGTCACCTAGGGTTAAGTCCATTAACACATCTATGATGAAGTTGAATAGAAAAGGAGATAATGGGCATCCTTGACGGACACCACTGGTCGTCATCAGTTCAGATGACAGCTCGCCGTAAGCCCTCACCTGGCTGTATGAGTACGAGTAGAGTGCCTTAATCAGTGCAATATATTTTCTTGGAATTCCCTTTACAGCCAAGCATCTCCAGAGAACTTCCCGATCGACAGAGTCGAATGCTGCCTTTAGGTCAAGAAATATAATGACTGTTGGACGCCGGTAGGAATGCCTATGTTCTAGAATCTGTCGGAGGGTGAAGATATGATCAATACACCCTCTTCCTGGTCTAAAGCCTGCCTGGCTCTCTCGTGTTTGTGTCTCCCGAGCACCACTTAGTCTACGCATGATTATTGAGCCTAAGACTTTAGATACTATATTAGTCAAGCTAATCCCTCTGTGATTATCACAGGAAGACTTGTCTCCCTTCTTGTATATGGGGATAATCAGTGACTTACACCAACCCGATGGGACTTCTTCTGATTCCCAGACGCTGCCTAGTACCTCAGTTAATCCAGACAGTAAGCTGTCTCCACCGTACTTAAATACCTCTGGAGTCATTCCATCAGGTCCCGCTGCTTTGCCTAGTTTCAGATTGGTGACAGCTTTAGTAACCTCCTTCGAACTGTTTTTACATTGCAAATTATGAATTTGATTTAAATGAACCATTGATAAAATACCGTCAATGCACATTCAGGGAATTATATGTTTGTCTTCTAGTGGTCTAGGGGTATGATACTCGCTTTGGGTGCGAGTGGTCCCAGGTTCGTATCCCGGATGGGCCCGTGGTTTTCAGCGTCGGTGGCATAGCGGTTAGGACGCTCGCCGACTGTCCACATGGTCCGGGGTGCGATCCCCGGCCGACGCACTCCTTTACCTCGCTAAGCCAGAAATAATGCTGGTAAAGAGGAAAGGTTGGGCATGAGGCTAGCAACCCCATCCTGTAAAAATAAACACTGCTACAGAAACTTTAAGTAACTAGCTTGAAGCCCTGTTTTCCACTGGGAACGTGAAGGAAAAAAAAATTATCTACAAAATCTTTTAGTCTACTGCCGTAAAGAAGAAAAACTCGATGAAGCTAGAAGACAGTGTTTCTTAGGACAAACACCTTGTAGATACATAAATTTGGCACACAATATCTACGGTGCTTTCTTTAAACACATCTTTTGAAAATTGGTCGAATATCAATCACCAGATTATATAGCTTGTTGGATTCTGTACAGTGTTTCTAACCTTTTTCTGACAGTTCTCTTCTTCGACTTCCTTTTTCCAATGTCATAAACGTATTATTACTTTTACTGAATTCGTCTACTGATATACTACACTACTTATATCTGATTGTAAGTAGCACTCGCTACACTGCTACAGTGTACTTCCTATTCTGAAGTTGTAGTGTGCATATATATATATATATATATATATATATATATATATATATATATATACCATCTTTATTAAATATTAGTATTCATAAGTTTAATTCATTCAAATCTTTTAGGATGGATCCCGTAGACGTTCTCCTGGTGGCGTATATCTTAATCTCATCAAACATTCCTATTCTGTCAAAAACGAAGAGAAACAGATCATCTTCATGATTGATAAGCAAATAAAAAATAAAATGAAAAGGTATGTTTAGAATGCAGTGTTGATGATATATATATATATATATATATATATATATATATATAATACTTTTGGTATATTTTAAGTTTGATTGTGGATTGACATCAATTAGAGGACCATTGAGAATCAAGGTGTACTGGGCAGTTGTTTTGTCCTAGTTTGAGACTCATCGGAAGTATGCACCCACCAACAGGGTGGTTCTCGAATCCAAGAGCTTCCGGTTAAAAGGCAAGCTAGCTTGTAGACCATTCAGCCATTGGGATCCGTCTCAATGGGGCTAGCCCATGAATTTTTAACTTCTGCCAATTTGTAATAATTTAGCGTGACCACCAGTCAATTTCATTGCTGGCGCGAGTATTTGCTCTCACTCTCTACCGGATGATGGACTCCGCTGATCACAGCTTCCTACTGGTACGTCAGTCAACCTTGTCCTGTTGCCAGCCGTCCTGTTACTAGCGAACATCAGATCCCCATTTTTCAAGAGTTGCCTGTTTTTGTAGGTATTTGATTTGTTTCAAGCTCGACCATAGATTGATATCGGTTAGAGAACCATTGAAAGCCAAGGAGAACTGGACAGCTATTTCGTCCTAGTTTATCATATATATATGCTAGAAATGAAGCGCATTAAGGATGTGGTGTTGTCAGAAAGAATTGTCTGTCTGTCTGGATTCAACATAGAACTTGTCACCGAAGTGCAGCAGTTCGAGTTGCCACGTTCCGAATAGCACACAGAGGTAGACAAGAAGATGAGTGAAGAGAATCAATACAGTCTGACAAGTATAAGAGTGAAACAGAATGGGTAATGGTAGAAAGGAATATGAAAGATTACAGAGACTGAATACATCTGCGCCATTGACAACAATTTTGAGCCATGTCACCTATTGCCGCCAGCCATTGATTCCTAGAGTCAGTCCCGAGGGCCCCAACCTGGAAGTCTGCATCTCCCTCCCTACCTGACTCAGTCTAACTGTCAAGGATTTCATGGATTGATGTGGCCATGTTTTTGTTTTGCCACCACTGGCTCTTTTCCAACCTGCACATATATCAGCTAGTAATGCCCGTCGGGGGATGCGATGGTTAGGCATGCGCAGCACGTGACCTAGCCATCTCAGTCTATGTAACTTTATAGCCTCGTCGATTGATTTTCCCTGTTTGCCCAACACTCTACGCCTAACGTCAACATTACTTACCTTATTAAACCACCTAATGTGAGAAAGAGATCGCAGACATCTATGATCGGAAGCATTCAACCTTTTCATGTCTTCAACTCGTATTGGCCATGTTTCAGAGCCATAGAGAAGGACGGAGCGAACTGATGAGCAGTACACACGTCCCTTAGTTGATAACCGGATGTCACGCCTACGCCAGAGATGGTGTAAGTCAGCGAAAGCAGCTCGAGCTTTTCGGATCCGTGCTGAGATTTCATCGCCAATCAGTCCATTGGTGCTAATACAACTTCCCAAATAGGTGAAGTGGTCAACATGTTATATCACTTCACTCCCTATCACTAAGTTAGGGGTTGACGTGGTCCAGTCCTGTAGCAGCATCTTACATTTTGTAGGGGCGAATCGCATGCCAAACATACGAAGATTGCTGCTCAAGGTGTTCAGAAGACTCTACCTCATTTTGTCAGCATCCTCCCCTAACAGGACTATGTCATCTGCATATTCTAAGTCCATAAGACTATTCCCTGGTAACAAGTCGATTCCTAAGTCGTTACGTTCAGTTAAGGATACTTCCATCAGCATATCTATGATGAAGTTAAACAGAAATGGGGAAAGTGGACATCCCTGTCGGACACCACTGGTTGTTACCGATTCAGATGACAATTCCCCATAAGCCCTTACACGACTACGTGAGTTTGATTAGTGCAATGTACTTTCTTGGAACTCCCTTCACAGTCAAACATTGCATTAGTACCTTTCGATTCATGGAGTCAAAGGCCGCCTTCAAGTCAAGAAATATGACAATTGTTGGACGCCGAAAAGTGTGTCTATGTTCTAGAATCTGTCGAAGAGTGAAGATATGATCTATGCACCCTCTACCTGGTCTAAAGCCTGCTTGATTTTCCCTTGTCTGTTCCTCCCGAGTTCTGCTTAGTCTGTGCATGATTACTGAGCCTAGGATTTTAGAGACTATGTTCGTTAGACTGATCCCCCTATGATTATCAAACGAGGACTTGTTTCCCTTCTTGAATATCGGTATAATAAGTGACTTACCCCAGTCTGATGGCACTGTCTCTGATTCCCAGACGTTGCCTAGTAACAGTAGTCGATCTTTGTAGTGATATTCTGTGAATAATTTCATAGAAATATATTATATTATTGCTCTCTTGGGTTCTGTGAATGAAACATAGAACTTTTCAATAGGACTAGCATGTCCATCAGTCCTGTTGCAAGCAGCAAACATTTGTCATCACCCTTCCAGTTTTTTTGTGAGTAAGGAACACGCGAGCTACCTAAAGACTATGAATAGAATCTGCTTGTCAGAGGCCTATGAACTCAGTAAGTAGCAGGAGGACTAGGAGGAGATGAAAACCTGTAAGCAAATTGTAAAGCCAGCTCAAAATGACTGTTAAGAACAGGTTGAAATGAAGATGTGCTGCTGTGAAGGCTTATTTTCCATTGGAATTTTTGAAATACCACGAGAAATTTCATCCTACCATATATAAGATGAAATATCTCTGAAATAACAAGTAGAATCTTAAGACCGTTCGATATAGATATAGTACACAAGCCAGCCAGCCAGCCAACCCAACCACTTCATTAGATATTGTACAAGGCAAAAGAAAAAGAAGATAAAATTAATACCATTTACAAAATAAATTGTATGAATTGTGATAATTATTACATGGGTAAGAGTGGGCGTCTCCTTCGAATTCGAATCCAAGAACACAAATTGGCTGTAAAAAGACATAATATATATATCCTTTGGTATCAATGTATGTGGATAATTATGGACACCAATTTTATCGGGATAATGTTGAAATTGTAAACAGAAGAAATACCGAAAATACTGTCAGAGAATTCCTAGAAGTCTGGTACTAGAGTGATTTAGCAATTAACAAACACATTGTTTTATCATTCAGCCACTGGGACTCGATTCAATGGCCCATGAATCCTAACTTCTGTCAGTTCGTGATTTTAGCACGACCACCAACCAATGTCATCGGCCTCGAACTCCGAATTTGACTCCAAATTTGACAAGGAAGTTCAATTTCGAAGTCAATAAAAATAGGATCAATAGAGACGTAATTCAACAACCAGTCATGACTGTGGTTACCAAGAGATACACTTACATTATTCATGGAGAATTTAAATAAGTTCATTTTATATTGAAGCCTGTGGTGAGGCGATGTTTTCTAGAAGGTGGACGACGAACGCTTCACAATTACATCAGCCAGCTCAGAAAGAACACCATTAATTCAATGTCATCCACCTGAGCTACAAATCTCCATTATTTTTATTATTATTATATCCTTTAATTCCTAAAGGAACATAGCGCTTCAGCAGCGCGTTTCCATTGCCTTCGGTTTTCTGCCAACTTTTTCACCCCGCTCCAAGTCTGCCCACATGCTTTCATCTCCTCTTCACATGACCTCCTCCAAGTCACCCTTGCACTGACGACCAACTCGACGCTTCCCATTCGAGTTCCACTCGAGGGCTTGTCTAATGATGTCACTTGATGGTTTCCTCAGAGTATGGCCAACCCATCTCCATTTCTTCCCGCCTATTTGTTTCACTATCGGTTCCTGGTTGGTTCGCTCATTGCTAGAGATCCCTGTTGTTGATCTTTTCTGGCCATCTGATCTTTAGTATTGAGCTAAGACAATTGTTAATGAAGGTCTGAAGTTTGTTTGAGATGCTCTTTATGACGCGCCAAGTCTCTGATCCGTGTGGTGAGTAGCACTGACTTCACATTGGAGTTGAAAATTCGGATCTTATTTTTGATGCTGAGTGCTGTTGACCTCCATTATTTTTAGAAATTCATAATATTCCATTACAGTATTATAAATACTTTTCATTAGATGGTACCACCTTTTTAATCTTAAATTGAATGGTTGAGTTGTATTCAATGCTTTTTAAAAAAAATTGTATGTAATTTTCTTTTGTTATTCATAGGATTCGTAAGCACCGTCGTCGTAAACACCGAAAGCTTGAAAATTTGAAAAATCGACCCATAATCCGAGATATTAATAATAATAATCCAATAAAACCATTCAATGATGATACAAACTTTTCTTCCTCAATAGATGCAGATAATAATTTAGAAGAACCACCATTTATTTTATTAGATGAACGTACATCTCCTGTAACGGCGAAAATGGATACAACAGATACTGTAATAAGTTCTTGTAAGAAATCACCTGATTCTGATGAATCTTTGGAAGAAGGTGAAATACCATCAAGCGATGATGATATATAGATTTCTTTTTTGTATTAAGTTATTTTTACTAGTATTGTTTATTATTATTACTATTGTTTCTTTACTGAAATATATGCATTTATGAATATAAGACGGCTTTTTTTTAAAAAAATTCTTACACTAAATGTGTTAATTAATAACACTTCTCAAGTGATCATGTTATTTATTAACAAGATACATGAGTTGTTCGCCTTTCAGGGCTAAAATGAGTAGACCAAACCGAATCAACTTGTATCCAAAATCACGATTTACAAATTGGTTAGCAGTTTACAATCTGCACAGGTCGAAATCGTACTCATGCAGCCAGGTGAGGGCTTACGGCGAGTTGTCATCTGAACTGGTGATGACTAGTGGTGTCCGTCAAGGATGCCCATTATCCCCTTTTCTATTCAATTTCATCATAGATGTTTTAGTGGAATTAACCTTAACTCACTTCAGAAACTCAGGGATTGACTTGCTACCAGGGAATAATCTCGTTGACTTAGAATATGTAGATGATATAGTCCTTCTAGGCGAGGACGCTGACAAAATGCAGACTCATCTGAACACATCTCGAGCTGCAATCTACTAATGTTTGGCATGCGATTCGCTCCCACCAAATGCAAGATGATTTTACAGGACTGGACCATACTGACTCCTAGATTAGAAGTAGGAAGTAAAGTGGTAGAGCGCGTTGACCGTTTCACTTACTTGGGAAGTACCATCAGCCAACGCGTTGATCTCTGACGAAATCTCAGCTGAGTACGGATACAGAGGGCTAGTTTCGCATATGCCAGTTAACGGCGTTTCTAGTATAGACGTGATATCCGACTGGCTATCGACCAAAGGGCGGGTGTACTGCTCATCAGTCCGTTCCGTCCTCCTTTATGGTTGTGAGACCTGGTCACTGAGAGTGGAAGACATGAAAAGACTAGCTGTCTTTGATCATAGGTGCCTGCGTTCTATTTCCCATGTGAAGTGATATAATAAGGTGAGCAGTATTCAGGTTAGGCATCGAGTTCTAGGTAAGCAGGGGAAATCAATCGACGAGGTTGTGAAGTTACACAGACTGAGATGGTTAGGACATGTGTTACGAATGCCTAGTCATCGCCTTCCTCGACAGGGAGTGTTAGGTGATATAGGGTCAGGCTAGAAAAGGGCTAGTGGCGGTCAAACCAAAACATGGCACCAGTCAATGAAATCCACAGCAGTTAGTTTAAGCTAGCCACGTAGGAAGATGTAGACTTCCTGGTTGGGGTCCTCGGGACGGTAAAAACCAGAGGTTGGAAACAATTGTTTACATGGCTCGAAATCGTTCTCAATGACAGGGCAGATGCATCCACTCCTTGTGACTTATGATTTCCAATGAAACTGTTTTGTTCTTCGTTATTACTCCTCCTTTGTCTCACACCTCAGTTTACTGTCTTTATTATGCATTTTTTCTAATTTCTTCTCTTGCTTTGTGTGGTACATGGAGTGTGGCGACTTGAACTGCCGCACATATGTGAAAAGTCCTATGTCGAAGACAGGCAGACAGACAGTTCGAATGGTGAAATATCAACCTAGTTTCCTTTGGAAACCAAGTTATTCAGATCGTCATACAGTATGTGATCTGCTTGATGCCATAAATAGTGGTAATCAAGACGACAAGCAAATTTGCATGAAACTATAGTACTACCACTGATTAATTGAGATGAGTAGTTGTCTACCACCCATATCAATCAGTAGAGGTGGCTGGCTAGCTACACACCGAACTGTCATTTCACTAGTAAGTGTGTGTAGATAGCCAGATCACCTCTATCTGGCGGCTGGCTAGCAAGAACTGCTGGTTGTTATGATTGGTGGACAACTATTCATCTCAATCAACCAGTTGTATGTGTGTAGTTTTGTGGTGAGAAATTTTAGAAACAGTTGACGTCATTGTTTGTGTCTCCGATCGGGGTCATGGGAAAAACAATAACAAAGCGTAACCTTGAGGAACTCAACAAACAATCACGGCAGACTTAGCGTGGGTGTATACGATTCGCAAATATATGGTTTGACTATCAAAGAAACACCTACAAAGAGATGACGGAATAACCTTCAGCATGAAAATAACCAATCAAAAGACGTCGCTTCTCACCTAACTGTTATGTACTCGTCGAGTAGTTAATTGTCCTGACGCGAAAAGTGTAAAATCAGAAGGCCACCACGTTCACGCGGATATATTTATTTTCCAACATGGGAAATTGACTGTCACACAAGTGTGTGAGTTAAAGGGTACGTAGTGTACGAAATGGTGTGAACAAGTGTGTATAAAAGTGTACAATACAAAAGTACATATGAAAAATGACTAATACACATGAACCAACAAGATAGACATCTCACCATGATCGGATTCTGACTGGTTGTAACGTCATGTGACAGAAAGGTCATACATTGTTTATTTAGTTAATGGACAGACAAAGCATTTTGTAAGTTATAATGGAATATCGATCAATATACACATAGCAAAATGTATCAGACTGTCAAAAACAAAACACACATCATGTGACTACATATCACTAACAATAACGAATAATAAGGTATATAGAAATCTATAATTATCTGTTGATTTTGCTCAATAAACGATTTGTTACCTGGCCGTTGTTTTCTGTCGTTACAGTTTTACGCGAATTAACCATATAAACGTCTAATCTGTCTGTAGGTGCTTTAGGTGCTTCAATTTTTACTTCGACAGGTACGCATCCATACAGCTTCAGATGGCGTTTAGCGCTCCTTCGTTGTGCCATTAGCTCCACTCCCCCCCCCCACACACACACTGAGTCCGCAGTTCAGCCATACTAGCCCAAATAACTTCTAAACTTTCCTCCTTAAATAACTTTGAGTTAAAATATTCGAATACTTAAAGTCAGGTAGAGTACTGGTGACAATAATAATAAAAATTGTGAAAGCTTTATTCTGAACAAAATTCTCAGCGGCAATTATTGCACAATAGTTTTTCTGTGTTCAGGATCTTTAAGTTGAAAATAGTAACTAACAGTAAATCGTGTGACACATTTCTGTCTAACTTGAAGCGAAAGCCAGTCCTTTATTGTATTTCCTATTCACCTCTGAGAAATACATAACATTTGGTTGAAAGCCAATTTAAAAAAGGGCAAGAGTAGGTAAATCTTTTGACCCAAGGGTAATTAATAATGATTGCCGAATAATTGAAGGCTACAGGTAATTAGTTTCATTTCTCAGGCAGTGGCGGTCTCTACTGAGAATCTTAGGTACAGTAATTATCTCATGTATTGAAATATATTATCACTCACGATATAACTTTTTCTCTATTTTAGTGGAAATTTGCAAATCAACTGGTTGTAAACATTTTTAAATATTCACAAGAGTGAAAAACACCATTAGGTGTCATATTCTAGTTTATTACAACAAACTGAACAAGAGTGATTATATATGCAGTTTAATTATGGAGTAACCCAGGTTTCAAACAAACCGTCTTTGTTTGGATAATTAGGCAGGCTACATTTAGTAAGGTTCGTCGGTGGCACAGCAGTAGAATGCTCGCCGACCACTCAGGTGGTCCGGGGTTCGATCCCCGTCCGACTCACTTCTTTATCCCGCCATACCAGTAATAAGACTGGTAAGGAGGGAAGGTTGGGCATGAGGTTAGAAACCCCATCCAGTTAAAATAATCACCACTCCTATCGAAACTTCAAGCCTCTAGCTTGAAGCCCTATGTTCCAATAGGAACGTAGAGGAATAAAAAAAAACGTTTAGTATGCCTGGTATAGTCCAGCTAATGAATAGCCCTACCACTATAAGTGATCTAAAAAGATAAGATTTTTTACAATCTCTTTCATAATTACGTGGAATTACACTCGACTATAGTGCTCCAAGGTTTACTGTCATTATCAGTGTTTCTCATTGTTATACAGGAAATACTTATTGCATTGATGTAGAAACTAGCACAAAAGTTCACTAGCTCAAGTTGCTAATTTTGTGAAAATAGAATAGAGTAAAACTAAAATGGTCTAGCGAAAGAAAGTTTGAGACAAAGAATAATTGTATAAAGCTTGATTGCAGCAGTGGGGAATTCAAACCCTAAAAAGAGTGAATGATTTTAAAATCTATTCCATCAAGAATCTTCAAACAGTGAATGTGTCAGCTTTTCGAGAATCAAAGGCGAACAACCTGTTCGGGTAGTAATTATAATTATTATATTATTCAACATAAAATTGACACAATCTAGGCACCAAAAAGATGCACCACACAATAATATATACAGGAAATAAGCAGAGAATGAATGAAGGCAGTCGTCCAAAAATGAAGCAAGTATATTTGGCAAGATCAAACAACATTCGTCGTACTACTGTCATAAAAGGAAGAAAGAAAGAAATTGCAGTATGTCCGTCTGGGAATTACCATGAATTTTTGTCGATGTCATGCCTGTCGTGCATGCATCTGTTTGAATGTTATGGTCAAGTTAAACTACAAGCACCAATGACTACCACTGGAGTGCGACCGCACCAATGACCTCGAAACGCTCATTGAGAGAGTCAGTGAAACTTGGCAAAATAATGTTGTCATCATCAAGAAGAAATGTTCATCTAAGCCAAGAACAATTCAAGGTTAGGTTAATCTAATAAAGGCGACATTATGGTTGATTCGAGTTAGATTACAGTTTAGGGATATTGTCACGCTACGGATAGGTTCAGGAAAGATGAGGGTTTATTGTTAGGTTTAGAAAACTTAAGTAATTACATGCATAGAATGTGGTTAAATTACTCTGTTGATATATGATGAATAGCACTTGTGCACTGTGGCAGATTATAATTCCATTGTGAGTAACATTAATTTTAATAAAGTTTCACAGTGTTATAAAGTCATATTTCCTGATGACGTTTCAAACACAATTTATTGCTCAGGATATGTTTTCGTAGTACACTATGAGACTTTATCAAAATAAATTTTACCCACAATGGAATTATACTCGGTGGATAGTGACTAGCAGTGGATTCCAGGATACGCATTTCGCCCTA